TATATATATCTGTATATATATGTATATGTATATATATATATATATATATTTATATATATAATTATAATAACGCCTATAGGCATACATGCTTATATTCATACAGACCCATCCATCCATACACACATATATATACATATGTAAATACATACATAAATACATACATTAGCATATATATATATATAGACAAATACATTAAAACGAATTTTTGTTCTGGTTTTTATATACAGGTGTGTGAGAGTGTGTGTATCTTTGTTTACTTTTTAGAACTAATTGTGTAATTTAACATAGACTTATGCGAATAACATATATACCCATTTATAAATATTCAATCACTGAACAAAATAAGCTATTTTCTAGTGGGATACTAGATGGCCGTGAACGATTGTTAGGCTTGACCAACATCTGCAATTCAACATACCGACCCATAGTATAACCATTTAATTCGTGAACATATGGACACTGATTCGCTTGATTATTTGCAAAATCACCGTCTACTTACCTCTTTGAGCGTCACATTCTCCTTCTCAAGGAGAGCATCAATTGTTGATGAATCGTGGAATCCAAACTGCCAAAACATTTTGGCTCAATTGAATTGCGTCGTGGTGTTACCTAGGCTTCACACTGCCCATAAGCAGTGATATATATATATATATATATATATATATATAAATATCTAGAATCGAGTCTATATAAGGCTGAGCTGCATACGCGCTCAGGTTCCACCTGCCTACTGCATGTAACGCAATCCACAAATTGTGCACTTATGTACTAACAGATACGTGAGACTGGGTGCGGTCTGGTTCACACACAATATAAATAAACGGAGGTTGTCTGGTGGCCAGATGGGAGAGATTGGAAAGCATATCCGCTTTCTCAGAAGTTTGGGGAAGAGCTTGACGAAAGGTTCCACAAATGACAATTCATATTTTATTATTACTTTATATATAAAAAACAAATAGAATAAAAAACAAAGGTTGTGTGTGATAAATGGCGGCGGGTGGCCCCTGTTCAATTAAAAAAATTAAAAAGCAGTGCCGAAGAATGTTCCAAAATTGCAACAAAAAAGCCAAAACGTGAATGGTAAATACAATAAAAATACATAGTAATATAAATATATTTTCTATGTATTTATTCATTTGTATGTAGAGGGGATTTTCATTTTTGGTTTATGTACTAAAAAAGGGGGCAAACATACATAAATATAAGCCTTCTAAATTGAAACATTTATATTTGGGCCCCGGTGGTGTAAATAAATATTTTTAGCATTTTGTGTGAATCCGTAATGGAACAGCTGCTTTTGGTTTTTTTTGTGTTTTTGCAAAACTGTGTGTGCCCACAGAGAAATATTTACTGACAACTTGTCAAGTCAAGCGTGTGCCGACAATACTATGAATGCTTATTCACCATTGTTGTCATACCAGATTTGTAACGTGCACAGCAATTTGTTTTATGTCGCAGAAGCAATGTATTCTAAACCGACGTCTCAAGCTCAGTATAATCTTAACATATTGCAAATTGTATCGTCTACTACTACGTAGTTACAACGGTACTAAATGTGCAGATGCGCAGATTTAGGTAGCAAAGGCGGCCTGTGCATTAGGATTCGGCTTCACCACTGCCTGGTGTCTGAGCGAGGTCCGCATAAGTCCAGTATATCATTGAACATAATTGCTATCAGTGAATATAAATACCTTCAGGCGATTAGATGGTCAGAGTACAGGGCCAACTGGAGAGTATTGTATATTCTTCGACGGGTTGACAACAAATTTAATACATCATTAAGGTGGAATATGATCCAGTCGCAATTGCATATAAAATATCCTTTCACATCGAGCACAGAGGGACCGCTCAAGTAAGTGCAGAAAAGGGCGCGTGTGCTAGCAAGCTGTTGACTGTCGTATGCACATGTGAATTCATGTATAATCTCGTACGTAAAACGTAGGTCAAGTACTCCCTGATAGCTGTGTTTCAGAAACCGGCTTTTTTTTGCTTTTTCCATCGAGGTTTGGTTGAAGATAAAAATCAAAAACTGGACTTTTTGATGAACATTCAGCCAAATTACGCTAAAAACTCTGGCTATTTCGAGGAACATTTTTCTGAAATCTTAAATATCATCCAAAAATCTGACTGGTCAGGCCTGGGACATTTGTTGAACATTTTTCAGAATGTTCCCAAATCTGATATCTGAAATCTCAAAACAAGACGCCTAAAAATATATTAAAAATTAAAGCCTTGTTGTAACCCAGCCTCAGCCTCAGCCTTATGGGGTCCAGTCCTGGTTCCATCTCGATGGCCCCGATGTCCCGTTTTGAAAATAATGCCAAAAAAATATCAAAAATAAATCAAATCATAAGTTTTGAAAAATACAATAAAATCTTTAGATGATGCCGCGCTTTTCTTCTATGACGACAACCAAGACCAATTGGAGCATCGAGCTGAAGCATGTGAAATATGCATTTATTTATTTGCATTACAGTGTACACTTCTAAAGTATCGCGAATACCAACAGCAGTACTGAGTACACACACTACACGCTTAACGCGTTCATCGGATCTCGGGATACTATACACACTTACATGAAGCATCAGTCTTACTTGAACAGGTGCTACTACACGTACTGTAGAATTACGACGAGTTCGATTTAGTGATAGATATATACCATGAGTGAGAAAATCACTTTCAAGGGAATCTGTTTGCACGACGATGCCGAAACTGTACTGGTAAGCAATATGTCTATTGCGTATTATACAGTTTCGAATCGGTTTGGATCTTTGTGAGGTACTTTCATATTTATACTCAATTTGTAAGAATAAGAGAATATATTTGTATACAACTGATACCCCAATATACAAACTTGACCGCTAGTGTGCTTCTAGATAGTGAGTGGGATGAACACATCGTTACAAACATGATACCCCGTATAAACACTTTGACGCTCATACATATAGCGAGTGAGTGAGATAAACACATGTCATTACGTACAGATGATCTCTTCACAGGGACTAATTCATAAACATACAATCATACCCTTATATATATATCATGTTATGCCTCCCGCATATACATGGGCGTAAATTTTCACGTATACCTTACATACCTACGCATCGACACACACACACGCATATATATATATATATATATATATATATATATATATATGTGTATGTAGGTATGTGAATATGTATATATTATGTATATATATATATTTATATATGTATGCATGTATGTATGCATGCCTGTATATATGTATGTATATATGTATGTATATATGTATGTATATATGTATATATAT